AGGAAGAGCACAGCCACCCTCCCAGCTCTGTCTGATGGCCTGTGAGGTAGGTCTGTGACTGTCTGTGTTTTTGTGGAGTAATACTTGCAATTTAAGTTGAGGAGTTCAAAAACAGAATGAGGGTAATTAAACACTGGAAGGACAACCTTAACCCAATGTCTCTCATGTTCACCTGGTGGCCCACCCTTAGTATTCCATGAACGACAAGCGCTTTCTGTCCTGGCATATTTTGTCTGGGAGGAATCTTGACCTGTATGGAATTCTGGGAGTCAGAATAGCAGTAGCAACACAGGGCTGAAAAAAATAAAGAACAGTCCTTATCCCCACGAAAGAAACCCTTCAGCATTTGCTTTTCGGATGCAGTTGGTGGGGCAGCCTGGGCACTCCGTGAGCAGCAAGAGCTTTCAGGGCTGGCACCTTTTTTCTGGGAGGAATCTTCATTTGTATTCAATTTTAGGGAGGGGGGACCACATATGGGAGTGCAGAGCTGATAAAGGCGAACAGGACCTTATTCTGCAAGAAAGAAACCCTGGAACCATTGATTTCAGGTACAGTTGATAGGGCAGCCTGGGCACTCTGTGAGCAGCAAGAGCTTACTCTGACGGCACCTTTTCCCTGGGAGGAATCCTCATGTTATAGGTAAATGAAACTAGGCTGGAAGATAGCAGCAAAAATTTATTAAAGATTTATATAAAATGCAAATAAGCAAAACAGCACGCTGGGCGGCCGGGGAGACCCCTGCTCCACTCACGGCCTGCAAGCGCAGTGGGCAAAAACAGTAACCTTTATACCCTTAAATTCCCCTCCCATAGTCACTTGTTATCCCTCTATTGGATCCGAGTTCGCAGGTCTGGTTCTGGTTGGTTCTTTTGCAGGCCCGCTTCAGTTGCCAGGTACTTCCCTATCCATAGTTTTAGGTAATTCTTCGTCCTTGAGGCCTAGTGCGTGAGTCCCTCCAGATGTCCATCTTGGATCCTCTTTATCATCCTCGTACTTGACCCTTTGATCCTTGTCCTTCCCTTCGTTACTTTATGCGTACACTTTTAGACAATATACTTTTAGAAAAACAAGATACAAAATACTTATTCAGCAAGGCACAATAATTTGTCTTGTCAGCTTAAGAACTGCAGCTGCAGGACTATCAGCCTACAGTACTGACAGATTAATTAACCATTCTGCAGCTTGCAGTTCTCCAGCCTTAAAAGCACGTTGATTACAATAACATATATATATAGGAATATAACATGCAATATAATTGAATGAGTAAATTACTTTACTACTACTAATTTGATGAGTAAATTACTTTACTACTTATTTATTACACTCATTTGTATCAGTTTTGGGGAGGTGGGACCGTCTATTGCAGCGCAAGGGTAAAATTCGGGATCAGAAGCCCTTGGCCCCGGGGACAGAAAGCCTGTGAGCTTTGGCTTTCAGGTGCAGTTGCTGGCACAGCCTGGGCACTCCTTGGCCAGCCAGGGCTTTCTG